GGGGAAGTATGTTAGATGTGCACCTGCCCTGTCTCCTGTTATCTAAGTTTGTTGGTGTTCCTTTGTGGACAGGGATAGCTTAACTACTGTTATCTATGTGCTGGTAACTTCAAGGTTAGATTACTGCAATGCGTTATACATAGGGCTGCCTCTGAAGATGGTTCGGAGACTTCAGCTAGTGCAGAATTCAGCGGTCAGATTGCTCACCGGAGGAAGACAGTTTGAGCATATTACACCAATCCTGGTCTGACTGTACTGGCTACCAATTAGTTTCTGGGCCCAATTAAAAGTGCTGGTTTTGACCTATAAAGCCTTAAACAGCTCAGGACTGCAATACCTCAAGGACCGCCTCTTTCCATATGAACCTACCCAGACCTTAAGATTACCTTCTTAGCTCCTTCTTCATGTGCCACCTCCTTGAGAGGTCTGGAGGGTAGCAACACGAGAACAGACCTTCTCTGCAGTGGCTCCCCGTCTGTGGAATGCTGTCCCCAAGGAAGTTCACCTGGTACCTTCATTATACACCTTTAGGCAGCAGGCAAAACGTTCCTTTTTAATCAGGTCTTTGGTTGATTTGATTGACATCCTATGCCCTTTTAAAATGTGGGTTTTTTGGGGCGGCGGTGGTAATTATTGGGTTGTTGTTTTTATTTTGATTATATCTTTTGTGGTTGTATATTTTGATTTTGTTCTGTGAACTGCTCTGCGACCTCCGGGTATAGGACATTATATAAATTCAATAAATAATAATAATAAATTTGTCCTCATCACTACCCAACCCAGGGAGCAAAAGCATTAATGGGCTGAGTCACCTGCTTGTTCTAAATATATTTCCAAACACACCACTGAAGAAGACACTTTGTCAAGTGAGTCCTATCTTTCACCTTGTCGTGCTCAAGTTGGTACCAGCTTCTTTGCTGCCCAAACTTGTTTCAGAACGGAAACCTACACAGTTTAGCAAGTTTATACTGGTTACACAGAAGCAGTATTTTAAAAGACTGGCCTGAAAACAAACATTTCCTTGATGACAGATAACTCCGGTGACCTTTGACTAGCTTTTGTAAAGTTAAATCTATTGCACTGGTCTTCAACTGGTAGGTCAGGAACTGCAATTAGGTCCTGGCCTGATCCAAGGTGGACCACAACAGGAGCACTACCATCATGCAAATCTATTGTAAAAGATTAAGAAATGGGTCCTCAAAAGCATGGTTGAGTTAAAAGAGGGTCCTGGGTCTGAAAACAGGCTGAAGATACCTGATCTATTGGATCAGGTATGTGTGAAAACCTTGTGTGAGAACCCTGTTATATTAAAAAAACCCACATTTATTATTCTACATTTTATGGAGTGATCTGTGACATGTGGCTTCTGTTGGCCAATAGTTCTGATGTGCCAGACATTCTTGAGCCTAACCTTAGCAAACTGAAATAAATAAACAAATTAAAAAATTGTCCAGTAGCACCTTAAAGACCAATTAAGTTTGTTCTTGGCATAAGCTTTCGTGTGCATGTACACTTCTTCAGATACTTCTTCAGGTATCTGAAGAAGTGTGCATGCACACGAAAGCTTATACCCAGAATAAACTTAGTTGGTCTCTAAGGTGCTACTGGACAATTTTTTAATTTGTTTATTTGTTTTGACTGCATCAGACCAACACGGCTACCTACCTGAACTTAGGAAACTGAGATCATCTTGCTTTGTGCAAATGATGTAAGTAGGCATGTCAGAGGTCAGCAACTGGGGATGGGGCTGGTTGAAAGCTGTCTCTGAGTGTTTGCCAGCTTGCCCGTCCTCAGAGGTGGATTTAGGGGAACACGACCGGTTCAGTTGCACTGGGCATGGAGCCTTGGCATCACAGGGGGTGCCACAGCTATGATGCAGAATGGAAGGTGGGAGGGGGACACCAAATTTTTGGTGTAACCCAGGGCGCTGCTGAAATTTGAGACCCCAAGGTCTACAATTACACTCTTCAGGAGCAAAAGAGGGTTTTAGAGTGTGACATTCATGGCAGCAGGACTTCGATCCACTAACACCTTCTCAAAGGAACCCTCTGGTCAAATTGCTGACCACAGAGCAACATGTTTGTCTAAACAATATACTGACCACAGAGCAGGGGAAACCCTTTCAGCAGACAAGGGCTGCACTCCCTTCTGAGTAGCCTGGGAGTGGGGACATACCAATTGTGGGCGTTGCCAGAGGAATAATGGACAGAACAATTCATGTAAAATTTACCTTTGTACCACCTGCTAGTTCCTACACACACTTGCACATCCCTCTCTGTCCTCTATGGATGAAGTCATGGAAAATTCAGAGCCCCACGTACAATCCTGGTTCTACAAAGAACCACTTCTAAAACCTTAGTTTGCCCTATGTGATTTATTTATTTGCCACCAGTGTGCGTGGAGCTACCCCATGAAACTTACAACTAATACTTTGACATGGGGAAAACAAGGGAGGAAAAGGGAGATGTTGTTGTTTAGTCATTTAGACTCTTTGTGACCCCATGGACCAGAGCACGCCAGGCACTCCTGTCTTCCACTGCCTCCCGCAGTTTGGTCAAACTCATGCTGGTAGCTTCAAGAACACTGTCCAACCATCTCGTCCTCTGTCATCCCCTTATCCTTGTGCCCTCAATCTTTCCCAACATCAGGGTCTTTTCCAGGGAGTCTTCTCTTCTCATGAGGTGGCCAAAGTATTGGAGCCTCAGCTTCGGGATCTGTCCTTCCAGTTAGCACTCAGGGCTGATTTCCTTAAGAATGGATAGGTTTGATCTTCTTGCAGTCCATGGGACTCTCAAGAGTCTCCACCAGCACCATAATTCAAAAGCATCCATTCTTTGGCGAGCAGCCTTCTTTATGGTCCAGCTCTCACTTCCATACCTCACTACTGGAAAAGGGAGGTAGTATATGTTGCTATTTCATGCTTTAAGCTTAGCTACAGGTCAAGTTACAGTATGACATGGGTGGGGAGCCTGAGGCCCCTCCCCCATATTGTTCCCTTCACCGTGGACTATTGGCCATGTTGGCTGAGGCTGATGGAAATTGAAGTCCCAGCAGTATCTGAAGGACCACAAGTTCCCTGTTCCTGCAGCTGGGTATGAGATCTAAAGGGCCGTGAACTCACACTCTTGCACATTTGCACTAAACAAAGGTTTGGCTTAGCACTGATTGCAGATTGAGTCCGTGTGTGCTGGCTAGTGGATCAGCTTATCAATATCCCTTACCTAGTCCCTTGGTGAAGAGATACAATAAGGTGCATGGGAAGTGACGCCTGAGCACCAGCAATTCCCTTTTGTTTAGCCAACAAGCTCAGGAGAGCATGGCAGTCCTATCATCCACCACTGTTTAAACTTTTGAAATCATAAATGATAGGTATAGTTCAGGTTCCCATAAAAAAATATTCTATTTAAGTGGTGTTTGTTTTCAAAATATACCTCTGGAGTGGCTGGGCAGGAGTTGCAATAAAAGGGCGAATGAAGGGGATCCAATTCTACTTGTCTTCTTGTGCTGGAATTGGGGATCAGTTCGAGAGGAGGAGGAAGCAAACACTGCAGGTTTGGAGATTGTATAGGTTTGATTGCTTCATTTCCCCCACCAGGACAAGACAGCTTGTGGGCTTGAAGGCTAGAGGTGCTTTGCATTTGAGAAGAAAGGCATAACCGATTGCTTACCAGAGGCAGTGCCTGGTTTCTGGTACCTGTCCTTGGTAAAACACTGTCCTCATTTTGTCCCTATTTTTGTGTTTGGGGAAGGTGCTTTGGGTGTTTTACCTGCTGTTTTGAGAGAGGGGTTCTGAGCATTGCCAGCTTCTCTTTTGTGAAATGCGTATTTAGTTGAGCCAAAGAGATTCTTACATTTCCAGATGTGTCCCCTGACTCAACAGGGTTGGGAATCTGTGAATTATACCAATAATACTTACCATGTGTATAGTACTTTCCAACCCACCCACTCTTTAAAAGTCTCTCCTCCCCCAGTATATACTGTATACACTGCCGTCCACTATAATGGTGGCTCCAAGTGAGTGACAAAAGAGACATTTTTTATTGCAGCAGACAGTAGAAGTTTAAACATTTTATTTTTAGAAAGCGTGTCAGTGATTCTGTTTTATTAGAAAGACCTTAAGATCAGGGATGAGTTGTATTATATGTTTTGATGAAGTAAGCATCCAAAGTGATATTTGTTGCACTTTCTTTTTAAAAAAAAAAGGTTTGCAGGTTTTCTATATAGCCATACAAGAAAAACTGTGTACAAGTGCCAACTTCTTTAACCATAAATTATGATTTTTGCATATTTATTATTTACAAGTAATCCAAGATCTAATAATTACAAAAAGGTCCACTAAGACTATGAATATTTACATAAGACAGATTATTAGTAACTATTTACTTAGCATTGTTTGCAAATGTCAATCATTCCAAGAGACCAAAAAAAAAAACACCTGATAAAAAGGGCCAAATGGTGTTTTTTTTTAATATATAATTTTTACTGAAACTTTTCAACATACAATGTAATAAAAACTAATCTAAATAAAAATAAAAAACAAAACAGAAGAAGAAGAGAGAAAGGAAAAGGAGAAAAAGGGAATAAAATAAAAAATAATACAAAGCCATCTCCCAGAGGTAGATCTTAACTCTTGTCTCACATAGAAAAGGGTGGACCCTCTCAGCTCTCACTGGGAGCTTCCCTTTCTTATCCCAGCCTCCCACCCTGGAAGATCTTCCCTTCCCTGTCTCTCCCACAGGGTCTTTCACTTGCCAACCATCACCTTCCTGTGGGTACCTTCATTAACCCAGAATAGAGGACATTGAAAAACAAAAAGTAAACAAAAGCATAGCAAAGGAAAAGAGAAAAGACAGGAAGAGAAAGATCATAAAAAAGAAAAGAAAAAAAGAGAGAAGCGAGAAATAAATAAATAAATAGGATTTCTGATTCTGTATCAACAATGTGTATAAAGATTACTCAAAATATTCAGTGTGTTCACTCCAGGATGGTATCCAGCAGTATTCCAAGGTAATATCCAGCTGTTCCTCATTCTGCTAGGCAACATTTTCCCAGTCTTCAACCCCAGACATCCCAAGTTAATTCATTCCCCTTTCCACACAAAAATTCCAAAAGGGGCTTTCCAGTTGTTATTATCACTAAATGTCAAGAATAGTCTTCCTTCAGTCTGGCATGTCAGTTCACATTCCAGGTGTTTCTTACTGATAAAGCAAAAGGAGAGTTTTAGATTATTTAAAAGCCTGTTTCATCTTATCCTATAACCACTTGTGTAGCACAGGATGAGCTGGTGTCTTAAATAGTCATTGTGAATATATCTGGCCAGTATTTTTGTATAATGGCGTAATGTTTGCAGTTGCAGAGGCCCTTCGCTTATAATTAATGGCTCAACAATTAATGGCTTTTATGATTGGACTACTATGCACCAAAGGTTTATCAGTGCTGGTTCCTTTTATGGTCGTGCCTGAGCTGTGATTGTAATCTTGCAAAGTATGAAACAGTGCATTATTAGCTGGATAAGAATTATTTGCAATCATGCAGTTAACAGTGCACATGCTGCCCTCTTTCAGCTGCCTTGGAGCCATGGAGAATGGCACTGCTACTCAGATGCCTAAGCAGAGCATTGATATGCCAAGCATGCCACCACCAGAGTCATCTTCTCATTATGTGCCTGTCAAGCTTGAAGAGCATGAACCTCCGGGTCTCAGTGTCAAGAAGCTCATCAAGAAAGCCAGGGAGAATTCCAGGTGCAACCGACGAAGTGTCCTTGGTGTCTTCATTAAGCTGTTCCCTGTTGTAGAGTGGCTTCCCCGCTACAGTATCAAGGAACAACTGCTTGGGGACATCATCTCCGGCCTCCTAGTTGGAATAGTTGGCATCCCTCAGTCCATCTCCTACTCCCTCCTTGCAAGTCAGGATCCCATTTATGGACTCTACACAAACTTCTTCTCTGTCATCATCTACTTTGCCATGGCTACCTCACGCCACAATTGCATTGGGACTTTCGGAGTCCTTTGCCTGATGATCGGGGAATCAGTAAACCGGCAACTGACGTTAGCAGGATACCAGTTAGAGACTGACATCCCGGTGAATGCCACGTTGAATGGGACAGTTGTCTGTGACAAAAGTTGCTATGCTATCACTGTGGCAACTGCTTTAACTTTTTTGGTTGGGCTTTACCAGGTAAGATAACTTCCGGATCCTTACAACACAAGTGTTCTCTTAATGTTTAGGGTGCTTAAACTCTATATTCAAACCTGACAACACAGTTATTGCTGCAGCTGCAAAAGGAGCAAGCGAAAAAGAAAAGCTGTGCTACTGTCATGGCTAATGGTGAGACTGACCCCTGAGAAACTGTTGGAGAATTCCTTCATCTCTTGAAGAAGTTTGGTGAAATGATCCTATCACTTCCCCCTCCCTCTGATTTCTGTGGCTGAGAGAGGCCACTTGCATACAGCTCTGGTTAGAATTAGTTACGAAGTTACAAAGAGAATGGCTTCCTTTATTATAGTTTCTGAGTGGTCACAGATGTGGATCTAGTTCACATATGACAATAGCATCAGGTGATAACTTTCCTGTAAGATAGATCAAACACCAGAGTGGGCACATCAGCTTGCATTACTCTAAGCCCAAGTGCTTTACAATGGGGTCACTTCACACATTAAGCTGGGGCAGGTGTTAAGCATGCAAGTGTTTTACATGTATATGCATGAACCAGAATACAAGAACAGGAGATTTTCTCACAACAAACAGAGAGTAACAGAGAACAAATGCAAGTGCTGATATTTGCTTCTGGCACCTTCACCCAGTCAGATTAATCAATGCAACTTGCTTTCCCTTTCAGATCCTTCTAGGGGTCTTCCAACTGGGCTTCATATCCGTATATCTTTCGGAACCTCTCCTGAGTGGCTTTGTGACTGGGTCCTCCCTTACCATCCTCACTTCCCAAATGAGTCTTCTGCTGGGACTGAAAATCCCTCGCCATGATGGAGTGGGCTCTCTTATCTTCACGTGGGTTGACATATTCAGATACATTGGCAACACCAACATCTGTGACCTAGTCACCAGCCTGATTGCTCTGGTCCTCATTGTGCCAGTGAAGGAGATCAACAACTACTTTAGAGACAAAATGAAGGCTCCTTTCCCCATGGAGCTTCTGGTGGTCATTGCGGCGACCCTGCTTTCATATTTCTTCAACTTCAACAAGACATACAAATCTAAAATATGTGGCTCCATTCCCACTGGTTTCAAGCAACCTGCTGTACCGGATCTGAGCCTTCTTTCAAACCTGGCAGTTGATGCTCTGCCCATTGCCATCATCGGCTTTGCCATGACCATCTCGCTGGCAGAAATATTTGGCAAGAAGCATGGCTACCCAGTTCGGGCCAACCAAGAAATGATTGCCATTGGCATGGCGAACCTCGTACCATCTTTCTTCTGCTGCTTTGTCTCTAGCGCAGCCTTGACAAAGACCCTGCTGAAGGAATCCACCGGGTGCTGTACCCAGATCTCAAGCCTGGTATCTGCGTTTGTGCTGCTCCTGGTGTTGTTGTGGATTGCCCCTCTCTTCTACTCACTGCAAACCTGCATCCTGGGAGTGATCACCATCGTTAACCTCAGGGGGGCCTTGCGGAAATTTGCCGACACCCCAAAGATGTGGCGGATCAGCAAGATAGACACCGTGATCTGGTGGGTCACCATGCTGTCCTCATTACTCATCACTACAGAGCTAGGCCTCCTCATAGGCGTCTGCTTCTCTCTCCTCTGCATCATCTTCCGCACCCAGAGGCCCCGAGCCACGCTCCTTGGCAAGGTGAATGACTCTGAAATCTACGAGGACCAGTTCACTTACAAAGAGATCAGCAGCATTGCAAATATCAAGATCTTCCGTTTTGACACCTCCCTTTACTACGCAAACAAGGACTATTTCAAAAGTTCACTTTTCCAGAAAACAGGAGTGAATCCTTCGCTGGTTGCTGCCCTGAGGCGAAAGGCTGAAGCGAAAGCAAACCTGGGCAAGAACGAGAGCTGCTTTTCTTCTAAGTTTAACTGCCTGAAGGGCACCAAGAGAGACGCTGCCAAGGTTTCGGTTTCAGATGCTCCTGGCCCAGCCATAGACATGCACACTTTAATCCTTGACTGTGGCGCCATGCAGTTTGTAGACAGCGTGGGCCTCAGTGTGCTGAAGGAGACTCGCCAGGACTACCAGAAGATTGGCATCCAGGTCCTGCTGGCCAACTGCAACCCATCCGTGCGGCGTCTACTCCAGGCAGGTGGTTGGCTTACTGGGATGGAGGATACGGAGCTGCTGTCCTTCCACAGTATACATGCCGCTGTGCAGTTTGCAGAGAAACAGCACCAAACTCAGCAGATGGGCAGCAAAGTGACAGGGGATGCTTTCCTTAGTCCTGAAGAAGACAATGATACCTCAATCACACCCAGTCTGGAGGGGCAGCTGTAGGCCTGGATAGAGCAGAATGTGCAAAGACTGGGAAATGGTTTCATACTTATTTTTATTGGTGCACATGACCAATAGCTGTGAATGACCTAAAAAGGACATTGACATTCAGTTTCTCGCAGCAGGCCAAGAAGCTTTCAAGAGGACTGTTAAAACTCAGGATGGTATCAACATTATAATGCTGTAGTTTTCTCAAAGGTTTCAGTCCCTCTTTATTTACTTTTACTCATTTCAACAATTTATGTAGGGCTTAACTCCACATGGCCATGGCATAAGGGTTTCCACTAGCATAATCAGGGACAACAATCATATTTTACTCCCTTTGGGTACTATGTGGATCTGGTGGATCTAAAGAGTGAAAGAAGGAAACATGTTTGAAATGATTTTCTGTTTCAGATGTAGAGTTTTGTTTTAGGTTATTTCCCTTTTCATCCCTCCCATATATTTTTTTTAAATTCTTTTTATTAATTTTCATGTGAATAACCATCCCTCCCATTTTTGTTAGGTCTCAGTGTCTGGGCTTGTCTCACACAGGCTTTGCAAATAAACAGTTTGGCTTTGCAAATAAACAGAGTTCAAGATGGAAGGTCTACTACCCAACAGTGGATGCATTGCAGAAAACAGGGTCAGTTTATATGCCTTTCTTTAGTGGAATCAGCTACCCTACAGATTCTCAAGTCTGCCATGCAGATCATGCAGGCTATCCTGGGAACTGGTAGCAGTTGTGCATGGATGCCCAGTGGCTTGTTGCCTAACGAAAGCATCAGTGCAGGAAAAGAGCATCAGAGCTTGGTCAGGGGTAGATACTAAAAGAAAAAGGAGCAAGGTATGGAGACATGCTAGAGAGCACTAATGCAGTGACACTGGTGTGTGTGGGAGGGCAAAGGGTGATGATTTTCCAGGGAGAGTGTTCAGTCTTAAATTAAGAGTACATGGTGAATCTTGGCATTACAAAGCCACACCAGAAGGCTGTAGCAATCTGAATACTGGAGGAATTCCTTTACTTTCTATAAAAGACATTCCAATTTATCTTTTGACATCTACCGTATTTTTCGCTCTATTGGACGCACCGGACCACAGGACGCACCTAGTTTTTAGAGGGGGAAATCAAGGAAAAAATATTATTCCCCCCCCCCAGCCCCAAAGAGCAACGGACAGGCTGCACGCAGCCTGTCCACTTCTCCCAGACCTTCTCGGGGCTGCGGGGGAAGCCCGGGTTCCCCCCCCCCAGCCCCAAAGAGCAAAGAAGCCAAGACAGCGCGCGGGGTCCATAGCTGCACAACCTCTCCAGCCAGGAGCTAAACCTCTCCAGTGCAGCTAAAGAAGAAGACAAGGCAGCAAGCGCGATCCATCCCGCTCGCTGCCTTGGCTTCTTCTTTAGCCTTGCGCAGCATCTTTAGTCTTGCGCAACGGGATGGATTGTGCATGCTGTCCACCGGGGCTGGACTAGATGACTCCTGGGGTTCCCTTCCAACCCTGCAATTCTATGACCTCGGAAGGTGTTTGGGGTCTCCACCACTGGAGGCTTTTAAGCAGCGGTTGGGGGACCATCTGCCTGGCGTTCTTTAGCTGTGATTCCTACATTGTGAGGGGGCTGGGCTAGATGACCCTCGGGTGGCCCTCCCAACTCTATACAGTCCTACAGTTCTGCGGCAGGAGATCCACAGCCACTTCACACAATGCCCACTCCCAATTTTCATTGGAGAGACATGTGGCTTCACTGTCTAGGTAGGTACCCCCCTACCTGCCACACTTCCCCCACCCCACTTAAGCTGGGGGGGGGAATCTGCTTAAGCCTTCAGCAGTGGAGGATCCATTGTCCCCTTCCTTCCCTCCTCCGTAGTTGCTTTGAAGGAGGAAAGTGGGAGAGGAGCTGCTTACACGAGTGTAAGCTGCCCCCCTCCCACTTTCCTGCTTCAAAGCAATCACGGAGGGGGAATCTGCTGAAGCCTCCAGCAGCGGAGGATCCATGGTCCTCTTCCTTCCCTCCTCCGTAGTTGCTTTGAAGGAGGAAAGTGGGAGAGGAGCTGCTTACACGAGTGTAAGCTGCCCCCCTCCCACTTTCCTGCTTCAAAGCAATCACGGAGGGGGGAATCTGCTGAAGCCTCCAGCAGCGGAGGATCCATGGTCCTCTTCCTTCCCTCCTCCGTAGTTGCTTTGAAGGAGGAAAGTGGGAGGGGGGCAGCTTACACTCGTGTAAGCAGCTGAATCTGCTGAAGCAGGGGAATCTGCTGAAGCCTCCAGCAGCGGAGGATCCATGGTCCTCTTCCTTCCCTCCTCCGTAGTTGCTTTGAAGGAGGAAAGTGGGAGGGGGGCAGCTTACACTTTCCTGCTTCAAAGCAATCACGGAGGGGGGAATCTGCTGAAGCCTCCAGCAGCGGAGGATCCATGGTCCTCTTCCTTCCCTCCTCCGTAGTTGCTTTGAAGGAGGAAAGTGGGAGAGGAGCTGCTTACACGAGTGTAAGCTGCCCCCCTCCCACTTTCCTGCTTCAAAGCAATCACGGAGGGGGGAATCTGCTGAAGCCTCCAGCAGCGGAGGATCCATGGTCCTCTTCCTTCCCTCCTCCATAGTTGCTTTGAAGGAGGAAAGTGGGAGAGGAGCTGCTTACACGAGTGTAAGCTGCCCCCCTCCCACTTTCCTGCTTCAAAGCAATCACGGAGGGGGGAATCTGCTGAAGCCTCCAGCAGCGGAGGATCCATGGTCCCTCTTCCTTCCCTCCTCCGTAGTTGCTTTGAAGGAGGAAAGTGGGAGAGGAGCTGCTTACACGAGTGTAAGCTGCTCCCCTCCCACATTGCCGCCTCAAAGGGAACCCGGGAGGAGGGAATCTGCTGCAGCTTCCCCCACCTCCCGCAGAAGCCGCACGCTCTTTAAAGGGGCGGTACGGCTTCTCCTGGGTTTTCTGGGAGGTGGGCGGATTCCCCCACCTCGTAGAAAAGCCTGCAGGAGCCGCACAGCCTTTAAAGAGGGCGCCGCTCTTGGGGGCTTTTCCCCCAGGAGGGAGAAGGGACTGCTACAGCCAGTCAGTCCCTTCTCCTTCCTGGAGAAAAGCCCGCAAGAGCGCACGAAGCTTGTGTGCGGCTCTTGAGAGCTTTTCCCGCCTGCCTCCCCCCTGCATTCGCTCCATAGGACGCACACACATTTTCCCTTGCTTTTTAGGAGGGAAAAAGTGCGTCCTATGGTGCGAAAAATACGGTATTTCCCTGGCAGTACTTCATTTCCTTTTCTCATGCACTAATGAAATCAATCAAAAACAAGACCAAAAAAACCCTTGTCTGTATATTTCATGTTATTTATTTATTGCATTTATATGTTACCCTTCTGTTCAAAGAATTGCATTGGCCACCAATTACCTACCAGGCTAAGGTCAAGGTGCAGGTTTTCATGTGTAAAACCCTCTAAGTTTGGGATCAGCATGGTGGAAAGATCGCCTCAGGCTTCATATAGCTAGTTGATCACTGTGCTCTGCATGTGAGGGCCTCCTCCAGATACCATGTTATCAGGAGATCCATTCCACACAATATTGAAACCGGGTGTTTAGTGTTGTGGCACCTACGCATCGGAATTCCCTCCCCTTAAATATTGGACAGGTGCCATCTCTGTTGGCTTTTTGGTGCCTACAGAATACTTTCCTCTTCCAATAGGCCTTTGAAGCTGAGATCTTTCCCAGTCTGCACCTCTACTGGAATTGTTTTAAAGATCTTTTAAACAACTTTTAAAAATTGTTATATCACTTGTTCTTTACACCCCTGGGCTTCTTTTGGAAGGAATGGTGGGATGGAAATTTAACAAATAATAGGTATTAATAATAATATATATGTCACCTTTTCTCCAAGCAGTGTAGGCACTTCCCCATTTTATTCTTTCAACAACCTTGTGTTGGCTAAGAGTGACTGGCTGTTACCCAGAGAACTTCTTTGCTAAGGGAGGATTTGATTTTCAGGTGGATGTGAGGGGGAGCAGAGATATATGCCACCCAAATACCCTGGAGGACGGGCAGAATATGGATACTGTCAAAGTAATACATAACTATCTGATGCATCAATAATATTACCTTATACTGACCACCAGAGGGCAAGAGTATGTCACAAAAATGCAATCTATAGCACTAACAGAGCGACTGTTGAAGGAAGTGATCTTTTTGGGGATAAAATCAAGAGCAAGTGACAGTGAGGACTTTGTTCTAAGCAGCAATCTTAGGGCATATTAAACTTCATAAAAACAGTTATTGTTTAGCCTTCATTGAGATTTATTTCTTTGCAAACACACAGAGATAGGACCATTGCTGTATATTTCTGCCACAATCTGAACATGATTTATTTCCCAAGGGAGAATAGCACAAGTGATAAAGTACGTTCACCTCAAGGTGCTAATTTCCATCAGTAAAAAGGGGAATCATACTGAGACTGAATATATTAATATTAATATAGACGACAACACCTTAGCATTGTCACAGAAGAACATGATTGCAAGCTGTTCACTATTTTTGATTCACTGAGATTATGCCTACTCAGGTGACATCTTCACAGTGGCACTTGTGTCACACAAGGAATGTAGAACATGACATTTTCCCACCCCCAATAGACCCCCATTTTGTTGTTCCCAGGATGTGTAGGTTTGCACTAAAGCCAAACTAATGGTGGCAATTGTATGTTAGCAAAACAGTAACTGGACTGGACTGGTGGGATGAGAAGGGGGTATTTTACCTTTTTTCTCTTTCCCTGCCATTGGACCCCCCCCCCCACAAAAATATATCTACAAAGCTGTCAGCATTTGTGGGGATGCTCCAGCCCACAGGCCAGTTTCAGCCCACCAAGGGGGCCATTTCCCCCAAACCACACCTGCCTATCCATTAACTGACTCACAGGAATAGAGGCTTCCTTTGAAATGCATATAGCAGCTTCAGAGAGGTGGCCTTTTGTACCTATGATACTGAGAGGAAGAGTTCAATGAACTCATCCCTCTCTAGAGTCCTGAAGCTGCTCAGCCATCTTCCCAGTGGCTGCTCTCTCTCTCTCTCTCTCTCTGTGAGAATTAATTGCACCCACACAAATGTCATGTCCAGTTGGGCCTAGGCTCTGCTTCCAATGTTACTTTCACAATGCAAGCCTATGTTGTTACACAGGTCAATGCACAAAACAGTTTACCAATTATATCTAATTTTGGTCAGCACTGTACTTTATCTTATCCTTCCATGCTTCCACACCAGAAAATAGTCACCCTCCTGATGTAGTTAGAAGCATACAACGTAGGCTGCATATTCACCATTTGTTTAAAGTACCATCACCAACAAATCCTAGGAACTGTTGTTTATCCCACACAGAGCTGCAATTCCTACATAGCAACCTCAGACTACAGTTCACAGTATTCTTCAGCTTGAGGGATGTGCTATAGGCCTCTTCCTTTGCAGGCTATCAATGACTACTTGCTCTACCTCCACAGAGGTATGAATGTTTCTGAATACCGGTTGCTGGACGTCACAGGAGGGAAGAAGGCTCTTTGCATGGGTCCTGCCTGCAGGTTTTCCGCAGGCATCTGGCTGACCACTGTGAGAACAGGATGAGGGGCAGATGGGGCTTTCTCATGTTCTTATTAAAGGCACAAACTGCCTGCCTGGAGGGAAGGAGCTGAAGAATTGTCGTTCTTAGGAAACTGGAGTTGGTAATAGCTCTGCAACAGAAATTGGATCGACAGCATTTGTTGCCTTGTCTACTTTGAGTTTCCCCAAGCCCCATGCTCTACTGCTGCTCAGTTTCCCCCTATTCCCCCCCCTCCCTTGGCTGCCGTAGAAGCTACCGTCTTTCCTTACTGTAAAACCCTAAATCCTCCATCATTCACTGAGATTTATAGGCTGGCTTATTGCACGAGTGCAGTACCTTAGACAAGATCATGAGCTCTACAAGTGGTAGCAGATTGAACAGCAGCTGTTACTTGTGTTTAGGAAGCAGCTGGGTAGATTTAAATCCTTGGAAACTTTAAAAAGTTTTGTCTCTTTTCCTCCCACCCCCCACTTTCCCAGCTGTCAGATAGAGGGTTTCA